CTTCTTCAGTATTTTTATATCTATATTATTGTATGCATTTTGCTTGTCACTTATTTTGTTGTCTTATTATAAACAAACTGTTATTGTGTTACGGCATAAAAGTAGACATATTTAAGTAGAAGTATCTGTTATTTATATTTGGAAGATGTAGTGCCTGAATATCAGATGTTGAATATATGACCCTATTGTTAGATCTACAGAAGTGTAAACAGGAAGTGTGTCTCTGTGACCACCACTGGAACTTTTTAGGAACTGATAAAATTTGGATGTTGGCAGGTTCTTGAATTTTTCATGCGGTGATGCTACTATGAGAAGCCTCCTTAACTTACTAGCTTCCTGTGCTGTAACAATAGATTTAGAAAGGCTTGTGAAAGTACTATTCAATAGTTAAGTAGGAATTACTTTTTTCCAATGTGGTGTGAGTTTGTTTGTAACTGATGGAATGACAAATCTTTTTAAACAAATAAATAGTGAAATGTTAATAACTCTTACAAGTCTTGAGCTGTGTTCTATAAAAGCCTATCTGGTGTTCTTTCAATAATGATACTTGTGACTTTTTTAAAAAAGAAAGATTAGTTTTGAACAGCAGTTGTTCAAAATAAATTTGTTGTCATCTAATAGCACATATTGAATATTAATATTAATAGCAAAACATTGTCAAAATTACTTAATTTTAATCCCATTAATAATTGTAGTATTTTCACTCTACTCTGATCTTTTTTTAACGGTGTCAGTATCCCAGTCTATCAGAGATTGGGAAGAAATACCCTGGTGCTACATGGTCAAAATATCTGATCACATGGCATCATAGGCCAGTCACTTCAAAATTAAGGTAGGAAAAATTACGTTCATTTTGTACTTTGTGGAAGCAATCACAACATGAACATTTTTTAGTCTGCCTTTCTAATTGGTTGAAAAGAAGAATGCTTTCAAAGATATTATTAATTAAAATAACTTCTGTCAAATCTCAGCTTTGAACAGGCCCAAAATAGCCCAGGGTTTGAAAAGAAGATGAATTAACCATTTTTAGTGTACTACTAATGATATATTACAGAACTCCATTCTCTTTTTAGAATTTTTTTTAGCATTTCTGTGATATAGATTGAAGTGTAAAGTAAAATTGATTTTTAGCAACCATTGTGTGATTTACCTGTGAATAGCTGCTTATGTTTGATATGAGCACTTTTTACAAAAAAACGTTAAAGCTTTTTAAAAAAGTAAATATTTTTTTGCCTCAAAATGGAAATTGATCTTCAAGTAAAGCTTAAATTTAATATTTATAATGCAACCTTATATAATGATAGCCTAAGAGATATTTCTCTTTTTCAGAGTGCTTTTGGAGTATTGTAATGCACAATTTGGAAGGGAGGAAGCTGGGATATTAACTCTTTTTTCCGTAGCCCATTTTCATTTGAAACTCCTCCAAGTCACTTTAGTCCCTCCTGGAATTCAAGATAACAAGTGAATTATCTTTGAATGTATTTTATGAATAAAACACATGGCATTTCAAATTAATTATTTATCATACTGTATTGTAATGTGTTTGTGAGTTGCATAGGGAATCTTCTATTGTTTTATAATAAAAGCAATGGTCTACAAATTTTAGGGAATGTTTAAGAGAGAAAAATAGGCATGCTGGGAAAGGATCAAGTGTCATTTGCTCCTGCCTCCATTAACCATATAGTTCTTTTCTGAAGTTGTTTTGCAAAGGAGAAGCAGCTGTTGGATTAATGTTATAGTCAGTTGCATTGTAGCACTTAGTTTGTGTTTCAAGGGTCCCTACATATCAGAATGATTTATTGCTAGGTCTGTCATCACCTTAGCATTGAAGCTCTCCATCTCACTCCTTGAGCCAAATATTACAGTTACTGGGTGAAATTATCTTAATTCCAGCTTCAACAAAGTGCTTATTCAAAATAGAACTATTCACTGTGTCAAAAAATGAGAAAGATAGGGCCAAGAAATTCATGGAATACTACTTGCACTTCCATTTGAGTATCCATACATGTTACTTGACCAATTGTACAGAAGACTCTCTCAAGGCTATAACACAGATTGTTAACAAGAGGTGGATTTAAGGTCTTGTTTACCCATAAATCAGACAAGAGGTTCTTGAATGTGGCTGTCCCAGATTCCTAGCAAGCAAGCAAAAACAAAAATGTTTCTTCTGTTGTATTTTTCATTAAATAGGTAAATAGGTAGACAATTGGTGCTCAAAGCATCAAAACAGTAAGTGATTACAGACAGATAGTTTCATTTGTTTGTATGCTATATAACAGATGTACCAGGCACTTTCACATTAAATAATGTAGGAAGCATTTTTATCATGAGAGCAACCTCCCCCCCACCCCCCGTTTACTGCATATTTTGTTATGCTTACATTGCTAAGGCTGCTAATACCCCGTACTATTAATTCTTTCATACACATTTATACTCAAATATATATGCAGAACAGAGAGATTAAAATATTTTACTATAAGATTGCAAACTACAGTAATGGGCACAATAAAAATGAGAAAGATCAGGGGTGGACTAGAAGATTCTAATGTCCTTTCCAATTCTGTTATTCTGTTACTACCAGATTTAGGAATCAAATTATGTGTGGTTTTTAAGCATGTATTGAAAAGATAATGTGTTAATCTGTGTATATTATGGAAACTGCTAATCCCTAATTTTGATATATTATGATGAAAAAGTATTCTGGAAATGGGGCAAATAGAAATACATACGACAAAAAGCAATACTGTCATCCTAGTGCTAGGCTATGAATGTTCTAACTATGTTTATTGACTAAATCACAATGCTAGGCCATAAACTAGAAAGGCTGAATACAGGTAATACTAACTTAACATCCATTTGTTCACTGACAGTTCAAAATTACAGCAATGCTGAATGAAGGGACTCCCAGTCCTCAACGGTTAGGCTATCACAGCAGCCCCATGGTTATGTGAACAATGTAGGGCCCACCGACATTTATGATCACCTTTTGGCTGCCTACTTACCTGCTGCTGCTGGCTGTTGCTGCCACTTGGTCCTGCCAGTCTCACCATATACCACTACAATACTAGATGGAGTCTTATTTCACTCTGCCTTCTTTCACCCTGGTGCAGCTAGGACCTTTTCTCACACCCTCCAGGCTCTCAGGTTGCACACTGGACAGGTCCTTTATTTGTGTGCCAGCCGGAGCCTTCTTTCTCAAATAAGAAAGAAGGCCCTGCTGCAGGGGTCCTTCTTTTGTGCTGGTGCTCCCAAGGCCTTTTTTTCATTTACCAGCTGGGTTCTTCTTCCTTGAAAGAATGCCCTAACCCAGTGGTCCCCAACCTTTTTTGTACCAGGGACCAGTTTCAAGCAGAAACACTTTTTCAAGGACCGGCTGGGGGGGGGGATTGTATTTTCCATTCCCAAAACTTTATGTTTACCCTACAACTAGCATTAAAGACACCTGACTGCAGTCTCTCTAGTTCTAGGTCTTGCCCAGCTGTGTAGCTACAAAATTTCATGCAGATGTTTCTCTTATCTCTGTTTGGTGAAAACAGGAATTGAATGAGGAGCATTTAGTCAGTGTGTTTTCCCTAGGAAGCTCCTGTAGTCCTTGTTTAGGGATCATTCAGAGCTATGATGGACCTCTAACATCCAGCCCAGGAAGAAACTGCTTCAAAGAAGCCGGGGGGAGGGTGGCTTTTCCTGTCGCCGCACCTCCTTCGAAGCGCCCGTTCACCCCCACCCCGCCCGCCCGCGCGCGGTTCAATCCAGTGCTCCGTTCTGCCTGCCTGCCTGCCTGCCTTGGTTTCTGGTTGGGAGCAGCTTCGGCTGAGAATAATAACTATTCGCCTCTTTTTATCAGCCGAAGCTTCTCCGAATCAACCAGAAACGAAGGCAGGCAGGCAGGCAGAACGGAGCACTGGATTGAACCGCACGCGGGCGGGTGGGGTGGGGGTGAACGGGAGCTTCGGAGGAGCTGCGGCGACAGGAAAAGCCACACACACCCCTCCCGGCTTCTTTGAAGCAGTTTCTTCCTGGGCTGGTGGAGGAGCGAGAGAGCGACTGAGAGAGGAACGAGGCGGGAGGAAACCGAAGCCGCTGAGCCGGAGAGCAGGACAGGCTTTGGTTGCTTCCTCCCTCCCCTTCTTTCATTTGTGTCCTTGATCCCTGATCCCAGCAGCATTCACCGAAGACGAAGAAAGCCGCCATTTTTTTTTATTTTTTTATTTCTTTGCGGCCCGGTACAGAGTGCTCCACGGACCGGGACCGGTCCGCGGCCCGGTGGTTGGGGACCCCTGCCCTAACCAACACATGGTTTAGAGAACCTGGCTGGTGCATGAGAAAAGCACTGGCTGGTATGAGAGAGAAGGCCCTGGCTGCAACAGTGCTGAAGAAGGCCCTGCCCGGACAGTGCAGTAGTGATGTGTAGAACAGCAAGCATGACTTGGTGGTGGGGGCAGCTGGCCTCAGTGGGCAGTCAAAAGGACAGAGATGGGAGAGAGATAGGTGAGTGGAGAGAGTTAAAGTAGAGGCAGCCCCTTGTCTTTGTCCAAGAATGGCTTGGATTCAGGAAGGGGTGATGTCCATAACTAATGATCACATATGTTTTTGCTAAGCAGTACAGGCATATGATGTTTCACTTAATAACCTCATCAGTTAGTAAAGGAGTTTCCAGTCCCATTTAGGATTATTAAGTGAAGACTGCCTGTAAAGACCATATTATACAGTTAGCAACACATGTGAACATCTGAACATAAATTTTCTTAGACCATAAGTGTAAAACACACACACACGCACATATACATACATTAGGCCTTTCAGGCTCTATTAGAAAGTGGCATTTATTTCATGTTAAAGATGAGTGATCACTCCAGAAGATGTGCTGTGAATCTGCTTAAAAGTTAGTCATCTTAGTACATTTTTATGATTGATGGTTTTGTGTTATCTCATAGTGATGCTTGGTGTTAATAGAACATAACAGCTATTTAAATATATAATAATTTCATCTCTCTCTATAGATGATATGGCAGAACTCCTCCTTGGAGAATCCAAGCTAGAACTTTTTCTGAAAGTGAACCCTCTAAAACAGGGGGCAAGTCCCTGTGGACCCCGACCAAAATTAATTGAAGTCAGGAAGCATCTCACTGCAGCACTTGATCGTGGAAATTTAAAGGTATTTGTGCTTCCACAGTAATTTTTGGGAGTTTGATGCTTGAGCAATATAAGAATAAATAATGTTGCTTTTAAAATATTTAGATAAATCATTTATATAATTGCAATACAGATCTATTTTGTGTATCAAGAGTTCCCAGTTTTTGTTCTTCCGGTTTTACAACACATTAAGTATATATTCCTGTCTTCTGGGATTTCATATGATTTGATTCTACTCAGCAGGATAAATTGTCATTGGAGATAACAGAATAAAACATATGGCTCTGACAGGTGAGGGACAAAAGCTCAACAAATAAAATCAAGGATAAAGCTATGAGAATGAAATGGTTTCATTTTTAAAAAACTGGCATTTCCAAAGATACATAGATTAAGTACCAGCAATGAATTCATATTGATGTTTGAGTTTCTTCAGATATTATTTGGAACTGAAATGAATTAATCTGAAGCTCAGTTTTTGTTGGGACTTAATTAATTTCACTTCAGAAAAAATATAAGTTCCAAGTCTCATCATCTTTTTCATAGCATTTAGACTTATATACCACCCCATAGTTTTTACAGCACTCTCTGAGTAGTTTACAATGTCAGCATATTTTCCCCAACAATCTGGGCCCTCCTTTTACTGACTTCGGAAGGATGGAAGTCTGAGTCAACCTTGAGCCCCATCAAGGTTGAACTCCAGGTTGTGGGCAGAGTTTGCTTGTAATACTACATTCTAACCACTGCATCACCAGAAACATGGTGAGATTATGGTATGGTACAGTATTTATTTTCTTTATACACTGTCCAGGGTTGCATAATTGAGCAGTAATGGTTTAATAAATAAAAAAACAATTTCCTTCAGGCCCCCATTACTTGGTGCTTATCTTTGTTAGACTGCAATACTAATCTTACTTATGTACATTCTAAGTGCAAGAAAAATAATTCTACTGTGTTTCTCACAAAATAAGGCCTGGCCTTATTTTTTTTTTGACCCCCGAAAAAACGGCCAGGCCATCTTTTCGGGGGTGACTTAATTCCCCCCCTTGCATCCTCGGGTGGGTGGGTGGCAACAGCTTGGATGTTTGGGAGACCTTCCGCCACCGTTGCTTTCCCTTCTCCCTTGCTGCCGTGGCGTTAGAGCAATGCCGCGGCGTTTGGTGCAGCCACGTGCGGCCAGTCAGGGCTCTTCCCTGCAACCGGAGCCCTGAGGAGACACTTGGCTTCAGGCGCTCCTGTCTTTATTCCTGGCTCTGCCCAGCCCGCACGGCTCCGGCGCAGCCCTGGCGGGATGAGCGGAGGGTCCGGCGGGGAGGCGCTCGCTGCCTTGGTGAGAGCTCTGCCGCCGGGCAGGAGGGCCCGCCTCTCAGCTGCGCTGGGCGCCCCAGGTGAAGCTCTTCGCGCTCTGCCCGGCGCCAGGCAGGGATGGCGGCTGGGCGCTTCTCCCGAGGTGGGCCGATCCTGCACTGCGGCCCCGAGAGATTCACCTCCCCACGTGGGATTGGGCTGCCCTCTCGGGCAGGGGAGGCTTTGTTGTAGTAGGGTGTCGTTTTTAAAATAATTCGCTTTACCTTCGAAGGCAAAGGGAAGGCGGTGACAGGAGTGCCTGAAGCCAAGTGTCTCCGCAGGGCTCCGGTTGCAGGGAGGAGCCCTGGCTGGCCTCACGTGGCTGCGCCAAATGCCGCGGCGTTGCTCTAACACCGCGGCAGCAAGGGAGAAGGGAAAGCAACGGTGGCGGAAGGTCTCCCGATATGAAGTGCCCTACCAACGCAGGCAGCACCATATCCGGGCATGCAACAAAAGTACTTCCTAACGGCAAGGCCCCCCCCCCCCCCCGCCATCCCCCCCCATTTCGCATGTTTAATATGGGCCTTAATTTGGGGGAGGGGCTTAATTTGATTTTATGCCAATAAAACATGGTGGGGCTTCCTATTAGTGGAGGCCGTATTGTTGGAGAAACACGGTAATTTGATTCCTTACATTAACAGATATTTGATTGTGACTGTTGAAAGATTCAAATTTATCCAGCTTTTAAAAATGTATTTTCTTATTTCAAAATACAAAAGCAAAATGCAATTTTTATGTTGCAAAGATGTTAACTTCTCTTCTTTTTAGTTACAAGGCACCTATTTTTAAAACTATAAAACTATATGTTAATTGTATACTTTGTATACAATTGTATAAATATTAAGTGCTTTAGAAATTATAGTCTTAGATTATACTGGTCACTTTTCTTTCTCACAGGCTCTTTGTAGAAATAAAACTAATAATGGGAATGCAGTTTAGACAATCTTTTAGTCTTAAGAGATGTAAATATAACATAAATCAATTTAAGGAATAAAGAATGTTAGATTAGTATATCAAGGTTTTTGAAACTGTTTTCTAGGATCCTGGGTTGCCATGAGAACTAGATGGAGTTTTGAATACAATCAATTTTTAACACTAGAATTTTGCCTGTCGATTAGGAGCTTTAGGAATTTTTCTTTCTTTTAATGAATAAGTTCTGTGTCCTAAAATACTTTAAAAATCCCATGTATGATATTGCCTCGTATCTGATACCTGCTGCTTGCCCTCTTCTTTTTTTCTAGCCAGGGTTCTTACAAGAAGCCCATTTAGTTATGGCCAAATTAAATTATATAGAAGGCGATTACAAAGAAGCTCTTAATACATATGCTAAAGTGGGAATTGATGACTTGCAGCTTGCTGCTGTACCTCCTTATCGCTTAAGAATGATTGCTGAAGCATATTCAACCAAAGGTAACATGGCTTCCAGTGTAATTGTTACTTGCTGTCCCCCCACTTTTTTAAATTTTTCACTATACTGAAACTTGATAGCAAATGTGTTGTTAATTCTATGACATACAGCAAAAGACATGCAGCAAAGAGAGGGATGCATTATTAGTAAAGATAAGAAGTCTAGCAAATTTGGTTTAAAAATGCACAGTCAAGAACAAATGCTTTTTTAATTTGACTTATATGGTCCACATTCATTAAAAATACACCTACAATTGTGCTGAAATGAGTAGATTGACATTTGAAATCAGAGAACAAGATGATAAACAATTTTATAAAATTTGGGATCTATTCTATCAATGGTTAGACAATAAAACATGGTAATGAAATATGTAGTTTCTTAGAAAATAATAAATATATAAAGAGATATTCTTTTCTTATTATATCTATAAAATGATGTAGATAGATTTGAGATGATAACATGAACTGTCATAAAACAATTTAAGTTAAATATGATTATTTTGTAAAACATGAATGAATAAAAGCATAGTCAAATGATTAACAATGATATTAATGTATTTAATACTTGATTGAAAATATGAGAATATATACAATGTAATTGTAATTGAAGACTATGAAATGGATGCACAAAACAATTTGTAAACCAACCGGCACACTGTATGTATATATAGGGAAGATGGCTTGATGTTTTTATGTTTTGTTTGCCTATGTTCGTTTTAAAAACCAATAAAATTTTTTTTAAAAAATACACCTACAATTGTTTCTATGCATTGGGGTTGTTTCTGAGAAAAGTATCATGTTATAGAGTTACAGATTATGGTGAAATAATTCTTGTCACATAAACTATAGTTTGTCTTCTCCACTTTATGTGTTTGACCTTTTCCCCAAAAATGTGAGCTGTTGTAACAACAGGAAGTTTGTAATTGTCTCCAAAGGAGGGGGGGGGGAGAGAAAGTGTGAGATACAAATGGGGAGGGGAGAAAAGAAAGAAAAGAAAAAAATGTTCCTAAAACATCTTGTACCATTCTTGGTAGCATTTTAATGTGTTGTTAGAATTCAGCTGGCCCTCTTAAATTCCTGAGAACAAATGTACCCCTGCATCTGTTTAAATTATTTTTTATATATATCGGTGTTTGATTCTTAATCTATTTATGAGAATTTATAAAGTAAAATAGACCCTAATTAGCTTTAGCATTTGATTAACCTTTTGTCCATTTTAGGTATTGTGGTTCAGTCGCTAAATCATGCCCAACCCTTTGCGACCCTATGGGCCGCAGCATGCTCGCCCCCCCATCCTCTACTACCAACTGGAGCCTGCCCAAACTGATGCCTACTGTGTCAGTGACACTAACCGTTTCATCCTGTGCCATCCCCTTCTCCTATTGCCTTTAATCCTTTCCAACATCAGGGTCTTTTCCACTGAATCCTCTCTCCTCATTTGGTGGCCAAAGTATTGGAGCTTCAGCTTCAATATCTGTTCTTCCAAAGCATAGTCAGGGGTGTGATTTCCTTTAGGATTGATTGATTTGATCTCCTTGCAGTCCAAGGGACTCTCAAGAATCTTCAACAGCACAATTCAAAAGAATCAATTCTTTTGCTCTCAGCCTTCCTTACGGTCCAACTGTCATAGCCATGCATTACTAACTTTTATACTGTCCACAGGGTTTTCTTGCCAAGGTACTAGAGTGGGTTGTCATTTCCTTCTCTGTCTTGGGTGGCCCTGCACATCTTAATTCATAGTTTCTTTGAGCTGCCAAAGCCATTTTGTCACAACAAGGCAATGATCCATGAAAGGAATCCATTTTAGTAGGGGATCCAAAATAGTTTATTAAGTTAAACTTACTTGAAATAAATAAAAAGAGGAAACAAAAATCCTTTGAAATATCTCTAAACCTATATAATTGAAGAAGGTGATATGAATACTTCCTTATTCTTTAACAGTATCCCAAATGTTTTAAGCAGTTGTAGGAATGTTTTGCAAATCTGTTAGCATAAGAGGATTAAACTTATATATAAAATCCTGATTGTATTGCCAGTCTTGGACTTCTTTCATGGTTTTCTTTTCTTTCTTCTATTATCTCCTTTGAAGCCAATAAATATTGTATGATACAATTTATCATAGACCTATTTAATTGTATTTTTAGATGTGATCTCTGTATTCATGAATCTCGCTACATATTTTCTCACCACATTTACAACTATGGTTTCTCAGTTACATACAACAGAATTTTCAGATATACTAATGCACATTTAGTTGTTGTACAGTTTTAAGTATTTGATAAATGAAAAGAGATTGATTTAGTCCCAAGTTATTTTCTTAAATTAAATTGTCTTTCCTTTAGGTCTTTGTCTAGAAAAATTACCAGTATCCTCTTCAACAAGCAACCTCCATGCAGATCGTGAGCAGGAAATTATAATGTGCTATGAGAAGGCTGGGGATATAGCCCTTCTGTATCTCCAGGAAATAGAAAGGGTAAGATGGGATAGGTAATCTCATTAAAAATAACTAGTTTTTATTTTATTTTTCTCTTTTCTTGGGATTACTCCCATTTACTATATATGGCTTTCAAAAAATCTTTAAGATATGACAATTTATTATTTGGTTTAAATAACCCATTCTTCACCTTATGTAGATTATTTTAACTAATCCCAGCTAAAAAACAGAAGCATCAATTTTTTTATCTGTTCTAATTTTTTACATGACATAATAGGGTACCTGTTATTTCTTCATGAATGGCTGTTTTCAGGCATTATAGATGAAAATAGTCCATCACTTTCTATTGAGAATTGTATGACACTTTATCCGTGTCTTAAGAAAATAACTTTTCTGCACAAAATGCAAAAAAACTTCTCTAAATAGAATTCACATGATAAAAGCAGTTTTGCCTATACTATTCTCAAGTTTTCTTTGGTAATGTGCTAAAACTTTGTTCATAATGAAAGTTTGTTAGCATTTGTGGGATGCATTTTCATTTAAAAATTGGGATAAAATTGGCAGTGGTATGATTGTATAACTGAATGGATGCCAAATACACTCATCCAGTGTTAGGTGAAATTGGTACAGTTGTCCTTGAAAGTTTTTAATATGCCATTTTTGTCCTTTATTTTAGCAAAACCAAAGATTAAGCCATAATTAAGATAAAAGTCAAATCATGCCTGAAGATCAAGAGCCAATTTTAGATGCTACAAAATAGTTCTTGGATGTCTTCGCGCAGGCTACCTATTGCCAACCACTGGGAAATATATCAATGCCCCACAAATAAACCAACATTATTGCAAACTGTGTGGCTATCTGTATTTCTTAATGTAGAAGATAGATATAAAGATCACTTGTGTTGATGAAAAAAGCTTGCTTACATGACAACCCTACTATCCAGTGGAGCAACGTAAAGAATGTTCTCTCTCTGCCTCCCACTGGTGAAGGAAGAGATCATTTGGGGGAATTGATTCATTTTTTTTAAATGATCTCCTAGGTAATAATTACCAATATGCAGAACAGAAGTCCTAAGCCTGGGCCTGGAACACACGAACAAGAACTTGGATATTTTTTAGAAACTGGACTTCAGAGGGCCCATGTTTTATACTTCAAAAATGGGTAAGATTTGATTGGATATTCTTCTGATACTATTTCAAAAGTATTTACCAAAATGATTTAGAAAAACCTTGGGTTTTGTTGTAAGATTACATACTAATTACTAGTGGTGCAATATCTAATCCAAAGAGAGAAAGAGGTGTTTCGGATCTGATGTTGGTATACCTTTTATTATGAGTAACTCCTTAAAAGGCTAGGAACACCTTAACCATTCCTTAATTTAAAGAGGTATTTTCCTAAGCCTGTGTGACTACTAGAAAAGACCAAGAAAAGGTGCAACTCTTTAGAAGAGTTGCTGATAAGTATAGTGAATGAGCCTACACCAAATCTAAACTACCTTTTTCGCTTAAATCAGAATGCTGTGTATCTTTGCAAAATACATATGTTTTTGTAAGTTCTATCCTGCACTTAATTTAATATTCAGTATATTTTTTGAATTATGTTATAAATATATTTTAACTTTTCTCAGCATTGTGTTGAAGCTTTAATAATAAAGAGTCCTAGAGACATATAGTACAATTATTTTTAAGTTTTTCCAAAATCTTCATTTGGCACTTCTTTTAACATTGTGTTTTACAATAAATATTCAATAAACTGATGACACATTTGATCCCTGTCTTGGGCTCAGGCCATCATCTTTTACAGTTAATTGTTTATCTGGTTTTATAGATTCCATTATTAGTCTTTTAGCAAAGTGTTTGTGGCACTACTGTCATTATTTAACCAGTTGAAAAAGAGAATAATAAAAGTTCATTTTTCCAATACCACTGTGGTAAAGTGGGGGGAAAGGAAGGGTGTGTGCTCATACAGTATTCTATGTTTTCAAAGGAAAGTATAGGTAGAACCAATAGAATTTTGCATAGTAAAAATAAATGATTGTAATTGTTTAACTCAAACTTAAATCCAGAGCAGGGGTGGTCTGCTACGAGTTTGGACGAACCTGTAGCTAATGTTATGGCCGGTTCGGCAAACTGCCAAATCCCACCCCTGGCTGCCCCTCCCCTCCAAGGAGTCTCCACATGGCCCGTTTTGGATGTGAGGTAAGTGCAGGGCCCACGTGGCGGCTCGGGGAGGAGGCTCCGGAGGCTGATTTTGCCCTCCCAGAGGCTCGAGGAAAGCCTCAGGGGCTGGGAAAGATGAAAATTTCCCCCCTGGCCATGGTGCAGGAGACCGACTAGGCCACACCCACACAGCAACCAGGCAAAGAACCGGTTTCTGAAATTTTTGAAGTCCATCCCTGATCCAGAGTACATAAATACATATTTAAATGATAGGTTTGGTCAGTTTAACGGTACAGTAAAGCTGTGCAAGAATCTAGGATTATTTAACTGCACAGATACAATATAAAAAAGGTCTGTCTTTGTCACAGTGAACAAGTAATATTAGGATTGCGTGTTAAGGATAAAATTTAACAAAGTTTAGCTTTGTTTTGGGCATAACATTCAATTTATACCTGTTTTGGCATCATGGCATCATTAGTGATGCCTGAAAAATTAGGGTAATAGCTAACTTCATGAGAATGAAGTCACAGTTGCCTACACTTGGATCCTGTATGTATCTCTAAATATATTTGCAAACTGCTTCTCTATTTTCACTTGAATAAGCTTTTCTGAAAAATTAATAACCAGGAGAGGTTTAGTTTGGGTGTTTTATGGTAACTCTTTTCCTGTTATATCTCAGACTCTAATGTCTCAGACAATAGATGCTTTTTAGTCTGATCTGGTAAAACTGGAGTAGTATTCAAAGTACAATTCAAGTGTTTCAAGCAAGAATAACTTTGGTTTGTTTGACCAAATGTAATAGATTAGTCATGCTAAGGAATTAGTAGATATTAGTTTTTCAGAAATCAAGTTTTAATGAAAACATATAGAGAAATAGAAATTGAGTTCTTGAGGTTTCCTGAATGTGAGGGAAATATTGAATAAATGGGGAAAAATATTGAAGATAATTTTGATATGCTTTTTGACCAGACTGCCGGGTTCACTATAGGGCTACATGGTTATTTTCATACAGTATATTGTGATTTATATATTTATGATATTTTAATTATTATAAAATTAAATGTAGTAGTATAATAGTAATACAATTTTTATTGTAAACTGATCAGAATTGTGGGAATTGTGCCATATTGAAATATTTGTGAATGAATAAATAAAGAAGCAATGTCTCTTATCTTACCTCCCCCTCCTCAGGCAAATAAAAACCTTTGACCCAAGTAAGCTGTAAGTGGACATACAAAATAATAGCAGAATCTTACTTTCCAAAACCTTCCAGTATTTCAAACTTCAACATTATGAGTATAAGAAAGTTAATAACAGGATTTATACTAATCAAAATTATTGACAGCTGCTACTATACAAATATGATATGAACTTTTTAAAAAGCACAAATGGGCTTTATTTCAGTGACTTATAACTAGGACTAACTAAACACCATTTAAAGTTCAATGTTACTAAGAGTTTTCAGTTGATTTTTGGCTCTTTTAGAAGTCCAGTAAACCCTCGATTTTACAAGTCTCCATTTAGTAGATTTCATGTGCAGCGAACAAAATTTGAATTCAAACCCTTCTCTGGTCAAGTCAGTGGCTGCTGCTTCTGTGCATGTGCAAACAAGCATTATACTTCATGATATTAGTTGCATTCTTCATGTCTATCATATGTGCTAATGTTTGGGATAGTGCTTTTTATAAAATTCTGTAAGTTTTTAATAAATATTTTGTACGGTAATTGCTTTATTTAATCAATGATGGCTGCCAAGGGAGGCAAGGAGAAAAAAAGATCCCACCTCTCCAATGTTTTTATTGATTCCTTATCTGATCATGAAGTCCAGCCTTATTACCCCCCACTTCCATACTTTTAGGAAGATAATCATACAGAAGCAGCAACTTCCAAGGCTCAGTTAAAATTGGATACTTTCTTGAAATCAATCAGTCATCCTATATCATCCCTGAAACCCAGCGCATCTGCAGCAAACAGCCACCAGAAAGGTAAGTTTTCTTCCGTACACACATTTGGGGTATTAAAAAAAATCAAATGTAATCAACATTCAGCTTTAGCCAACATCCATCCTACCAGGTAACTTATAAAATCGAGGGTTTACTCTATTTTCTTTTTTTTTCTATATCTTCTAGATGTGCAGCCTTGCTGACTTAGCTACAACTATTTGAAACCTTGCATGCATTCATTAGAAAATTTGTAGAGTCATCTTACGAGCCCAACTTTTAAACTTTTTAAAATTATAATGAAATATTTTTGGGGTGGTTCTTTTTAAAAGAAAAATGCAATTACTGCTGGTACCACCTGTTAATTTTGCATTGATTGCTATAGCAGCTTGGTAAATGGCAAGTGAAAGTCTACAAAAATGTTACAGATAGCCATCATTTTCTGTGGTCCCATTAGCTGTAGTTTTACTTTTTATAAATAGAGACCAAATCTTGATACATTAGTTAATTTGAATACCTGTAGAATAATATCAATACCTATAGAAGCTCTGTGGAATGAGGTTATCCTTGAGATTTGATGGTCCCACTTGTATAGGTGATTTGAAGGGCCTTGAAAATCTGGTTCTTCACCCAGGCCTTTGGCAAGCATAATCAAAGCCCCCTTTTTCTTATTTTTCTTTGTTCCCATCTGGGTTACTTGTCTTTGCTATCTTTGCTTTTTTATGTTGTTTTCGTGTTTTAAATGTTTGTATGGTTTAAATGTTTTTTTTTTCAGTTTGTAAATTGCCTGGAATCACAGAGTTGGGTGGGACGTAAATGCAATAAATAAAATAAATATACTTCTAAAGCTATTTGAGCAGTGGTGGCACAGTGATTAGAATGCAGTACTGCAGGCTACTTCTGCTGACCGCTGGCAGTTCGACAATTTGAGTCTCACTGGTTCAAGGTTGACTCAGCCTTCAATCCTTCTGAGGTTGGTAAAATGAGGACCCAGATTTTTGGGGAAAATAGGCTGACTCTGTAAAACTGTTTAGAGAGGACTGTAAAGCACTGTGAAGCGGTATGTGGCTAGTTAATTCATTGAAACTTTGCAATACAATATCTTTAGGTAAACTGGAATAAAGCCTATAAACTATTGCAGATCAGTCCATTATAGAACACTGAAGTTTTTTTTTTCTAAATGGTAATTATTAAACACCTATTGATGCGATACAAAATAAAAGGGTAAAACATTAGACTAATAAACCTTACAGATTTTTTTAAGTCTAGCATTTGTAGACTAACGATTATTGCTTTTTGAGATGGTTTTTCAAGTTTAAATTTTGGAAACCAATTTTGTACTTTGGTTGCTTTGTTTTATTTTGCAATAAGTTATTGTATTGTATTGTAAATTTGCTGTAAAATTACCCTCGATCCTTTTACTGCTTTATGGTTTTCTGTCTAACTTCTTTAAAAATTTAAGTGTTCAAATGAGTTCTAAAAGTTGGCATGATTAATATTTACAAACTTTGTTTTTTCCTGTTATCTGCAGAGTTCTATTTTACTAGAATGCTAGCTTTAGATTAGTTGAGAATATAGACATCAGTTTGTCAGGAATGTAGATGCTTCTTCAGCCAAATCAAAAGATAATTGAAAAAGTATTTTCCTGTTACTTTAGGTAGAATAATTTCAGGCAAATACATAGTGCAAGGAGGGTTTGTGGCAATTAGGACTGTAGAGATGATGGACTATAATCTCAGAAAAGTGGGGAAATGTGCTGAATTACAACACTATCCATTCCATTCAGTGTGATCAGTAGAGACAAATACTAAATGTCTTGGAAAGCTGAATTATATGCATTTGTGCAGGTAAAGTGCAAATTGCAGATCAGAAACATCCTTAGAAGATATTCCATCTTTTCTCTAAAGAATACTATTTTTGTTCTCTTCTGTTCTTGAAATTGTCTTTTTTTGTTATCCCAATCTCTGCCCCCCTTGAAAATATATTTTGCAACTTAATTATGGATCTGTTTGCAAGAACACTGGGCCATATCTAACAAAATGAAATTCAATGTAGAGAAAAGTAAAGTCCTACACTTAGGCAAGAAAACCCAAAAGTACACATACAGACTGGGTGAAACCAGGCTCAATAGCAGTAACTGTGAGAGGGATCTTGGAGTCTTAGTGGACAACCAGCTAAATATGAGCCAGCAGTGTGCAGCAGCAGCCAAAAAAGCTAATGCAATCCTAAATTGTATTAACAGAGGGATACAATCAAGATCAAGGGAAGTACTAATACCACTCTATCAAGCCTTAGTAAGACCACACCTAGAGTACTGCATCCAGTTTTGCTCACCACATTATAAAAAAGATGTTGAGACTCTAGAAAAAGTACAGAGAAGAGCAACCAGGATGATTAGGGCACTGGAGACTAAAACATACAACGAACGGTTGCAAGAACTGGGCTTGGCTAGTCTAATAAAGAGAAGGACCAGGGAAGACATGATAGCGGTCTTCCAATATTTGAGGGGCTGCCACAGAGAAGAAGGGATCAATCTATTTTCTAAAGCACCCAAAAGCCAGACAAGGAATAATGGATGGAAACTGAACCAGGAGAGATTTAACCTGGAAATAAGGAGAAACTTTCTGACAGTGAGAACAATCAACCAATGGAACAGCTTGCCCTCGGAAGTTGTGGGAGCGCCATCACTTGAGACTTTCAAGAAGAGATTGGACTGCCATTTGTCAAAAATGGTGTAGGGTCTCCCGCTTGGGTGGGGGGGTTGGACTAGGTGACCCACAAAGTCCCTTCCAACTCTGATTATCTGTTAAATCTGTTAAGAAACTTCATTTACGTTTATTAGGAGTTAAAATATTAAGAATATTTTACAAACATTTAAACATGAGTAAATTTTAAAATAAAGCTGTGCAGAGGTCTATGGAAAAAAAATAATGTGGTTCCCTGATATCATGCCAAAGTGTATGGCATTGCATTTTTAAACTCTTTTAAGAGTGCTGATTTATACTTTATAATGAATTTTAACCTTACATCACTTCATAGTCTGGGTCACAGGTGTCTTAGAATAATATAAATCATTCATTTTGCAGAAATGTACTTGCTTCAGCCAAAAAGAAGGGTGTTGCACTCGTAATGTACATATAATTATCCATTGCCTTGCCTGAATTCTGCAACTCTGTTGTTTAGTTAACTCCCTTGCTTGCATAATCAATATAGATAATTTTTTCAGTATGGATCTTTTTATTTAGCAATAAGATATATTATAATTAGATTTATTTTTAATAATTCCAAGTAATGCTACTATGCTTAAATTGCGAATATATGTACACTATATCTCATTTTCTCATGAATTGTTTTCAGAGTCAGATTTTCAGATTCAGAATTATCTGTCTTTGCTTGCTTTGGTACATGTTTTGTTAGAGACCAACTTAAGTAGCCAACCTTTAAAAATATAACAATTTATCTTAAAATATTTCATTTTCATTTTATTACTTTATCATATTCAGATAGTGTTGATATTCACTAATGGATATCAGAAAGCACTGCCGTTTTTTCTTTCTTTCTTTAGTTTGGCCCTTTGGATTATCTGATGGTTGATTGTAGCAATTTGTGGGCAGGATTGTTCCTCCTTGCAGCTTGCTAAGCTTGTGAAGTTGCAACATTTGTATGGATCCATTTGAATTAGACTGACAGGTTAGGGCTGGTTGAGGTTATGGAGGTATGAACCTTCCTGGTAAAATGAGAAAAAATTGATCCTGTAACTTGTAATGAAGGTTATCAGTTTAAGAAAGATACTAGTTTGGATGATTCTCAGTTGTTTATCTCAATCTTTGTCTGGACAAGCAATACTAAAAAGATCCTGTCTCAGATCCTTGAGTCTGTTGAGGAGCAACAAGCTTGGGCCCCAACCTAACAAGATTAAGTGGCTATAGGGGCTTGGAATTCTCAATTATAGGGATTTTTCAACCTTGGTTAAGTGAGGTAGCATTCTTTATTCGGGATCAATGCATAATCTGGAGATTTCCTCGACTTTGAGCTTCTACTTGAAGAGCAGATGGTAAGTGTGGCCAGAAAGCTTTTGCACAAATCCAACTTGTGGACCTGTTCCTGAACTGAGAGACCTTTCTTGCAGTCATTCATGTCTTGGTCATCTGACAAGCAGGCAAGGGCAACCTGTTGTCTTGGGGCTGACCTTGAAGAACACTAAAAAGGTACAGCTAGTCCTAAATGCAACAACACAAACAGTGATAGTCAGGCCTCACTCTGCTCCTGTAACACCTTGATTTGTGACTTTCAGTAATTACCAACAAGCTTTGGGGTACAGTTCAAGATGCTGGTTAATACCTATACAATTTTACCTGATGTAGTTATCTAAAAGATCTTCTGTCTCCCATTCTATATAATCAAGTCCTGTCACTTAAGCAATGTTTCTAGTGGAGACCCAGAAAATGGATTTTTTTCTATTGTTACAGCTGGGAAAACAGGATTTTAAAAGGGTGTTTGCAGATAGCACCTTGCTGGAAGCAAACCATGCATTATCTTCGTTTGTCAAGTCTTATCTGGGTTCTGGCATCCTCCCAACTGTGTGTGTTTCGTTATCTTTTGAAGTCTGATTTCCTTATCCTGCCTGTCTCGTTAATTGCTGCAGCATGGTTTGTGTTGGTTTTTATTTATAATTTATATGTACTTTGGATTCGGACTGAATTTCTTCCCTTTAAAAACTGTTCTTGGGAGAGTTTTTTCTCCAGCTGATGATAACTGGACATTGGGGGCCAAGTTGGAGGTATTAAAGGGACTTTACCTACTTTTGTGACTTTGTTGCTTTTGTGCCACACCTTGGGTCATCAGACTAGTCCTTAGTTTGAAATTAACTGCATTATAATAAGTGTAATATAGTACAAAATACTGCATTACAAAAAATAATGGATTGATATTGTTAATTAGGTTTTAAGAAAAAATGATGAGAAAAATTATAATATATATATATATAAAATACATGGGAAATAATATATACAAATACAAACATCCCTCCTTTATTATGCATTATGTTGAAATTTTTGGACTTCTGCAAAATACACATCACATTCTGTCAAGTTGGAAGAAAAACATTTGAAATTTTCTTATTGCAGCTTCCATGCATGATCTGTAGCTCACATCTTCTCATTCCTAAACTCCACTAATTAAAGTGAGGTGATTGTTATGTTTATTGTTATTATTTGTTATAGTACTGTTTCTCAGGTTCATTCAAGTTTAGAAAATGGGTTTTGGAATTGGAAATTGGAATAATTTTATATTTATTATTCTGTTATAATTTATATTATTCTGTGTACATACAGGAATTTGACAAGAGGAGTTGGTAGATTCAGAGAGATTCTACGAGCTGTTGAAACAAGAACTACACAGAATCTACGCATGGTAAGTTTTTATAGCGGTGGTAAATTAATGCTTGAATACAATGAAAATCAATTAAGAATAAGAATACATAGTTTTATGTGTAACAGTGTTGATTTTAATGCAGTGATTATTGATATCATTAGACTATTAAAATATAGCATAATTATTGGTTAATATAATATTTGTGCAGAAAAATAAAATAAATATATTTGGAAAAGTTGGACCACTATCTATTGGACTCCTAATTTTGTATAAGCCCTCCACGTATAAAGTGGTCCAGCTCCTGGTTTTAGCTTTAGTGCCAAAGGACTGGTTTCCCTGTGATACCATTTATGTACTCATACTTTGAAAATAAATTCTAATTCATTAAACAAGCCAGATATATGAAGTTAAGTTTAGAAGACAAACCAAGCCAAACAGGTCTTGATATAAAAAAGATGTTAGAATTTTGATGAATAGATTAGAACCATTCTAATATAAAATATTTGATTTCAAATCATTTCACTTTCTTCCCCCCCCTTTTAAAATTCAGATCTCCTTTTGATCCCTGTCACTAACTTAGCTAACTTTAAAAAAATTCTGCAAATTAATAGTTTCCCCCCAAGCTTATTGATATTCTCTAATATATAGATGGTTATTTTTTGGCTTCTTAAAAATAAGAATTTGAAGAATGTTTTTTTTTTATACATATGATATAATTGATTGCTCTTTGAAACTTTTAATGGTTGTATTGGTGAGTTTGTTCTTTAGACTATATTTTATTCTTGACATATTTTATATACACCCTATTTGTATACCATTGCTTATTGAATAAAGTTATACAGTGCACAAGGACTTCAAGCAGTAAGTTGTTTCCTGTTATATATGAGTTCTGCATCCTGCTTTTGTTTATTCTAAACATTGTGGTGGTGGGGATTTCTTTTTTCTTCCTAACAGACAATAGCAAGGCAGTTAGCTGAAATTTTGCTCCGAGGCATGTGTGAACAGAGTTACTGGCACCCTCTGGATGACCCTCCTCAACAATCACCCTTAAACGATCCACTCTGGAAATCTACAAACACTAAAAGTTACACTCTCAGCAGAAGACCTCGCGTGTATTCAGGAGAAAAGTATGTTTTTAAAAGGAATATAATAAGTTATTATAATAATATAATAAGCGCACCAACGTGCCTACCGTCCCCGTCCTATTGTTTCTCTTATTCTTCTTTTATTTTTCTTATATGTACCCATTTCTTGTATTCACAACTATGTATACACTTATACTTATTATCTTGTAAACAATTGGCAAATCAAATAAATAAAAATAAATAAATAAAAAAGTTCATATGATTTGTGCTATTTAAATAAGATTAACAAAGTGTATGGGCACAGACCCTTAACCGTATTAGTTTGTGGACAGGGCAAGTAGAAAAGATGAAAAAAGAGTGCACAGGCTAAGTTACTGTGGAGAAAAGTAGAAATGGAAAACAGAATTAAAACCTTTTTTTAGATAAAATGTGAAATGATAAGGACAGATGCATCTGTTTTTAAAGTATGCTTTCTATTATGGAAATTAGCATTAAAACTCATTTGGCTATTTAACAAAGCAGATTTATTAGCAATAGGTTTTGCTTCTTTTTTTTCCTGGAAGATTAAAACATACTGATGATATTTGAGATCACTGAGGGTTGCCTTTATCCTAGCCATGTTGAATATTAAAGAATTTTAACAGAGCTGTTGCAGTAACTAAATCTATCTAAAATGTGCATGGCTGGATGTCTGAATTTTATTTGTAAATGATATGCAGGAGCAAGTATTAACCAGCTTATAAATTGAAAACTGTCGTGAACTTAAAACAATTGTTTTGAATTCTAAATAGCATTAGAGTTCAGAACTTAAATATTTTCTACATCTCTTAAGTATAAAGCAAATTAGGTTTAATGCAGGATTTAAATTTTATTAGGAAAAATTCTAAGCATTTCCTACAGGTTAGGGTTGTCAAACTCGCGGCCCGTGAGCTGGACATGTCACGCGCTGGCCACGCCCACGCACTGTTTAGATACCATAGCCATTAGTTGAAATGTTCAGCTAGGACTGGAGATATGTAGGTTCAAATCCAACATCATTTTCTCTCAGCCCTTAGTTTAAGTAGTCTTATGAATTCTCTTTCCTGATTTGGTCTGTCCTGAAGGGCTGATGGGTCACTATTAAGGAGCTGACATTTTATCAGGTTTTTCTCTGATCCCTACAATGAGTACAATGAACACTATATAATAAATTCAGAACTCCTTGGTTTCTTTATAGTTATTTATTCAAAATGTATCCACTATCGGAGAGCATCACAGACTGATTCCTACCTCCCATGTTCCCAGTCATGCTAAAGGTCCCTATTGAATGGTCTTGAATTTCAAATATTATAAATAATGAAAAAAATAGAGTGATTAATTAGAATTTGGCCAGGTTTAATGTCATTTAAGACAAAAACAAAAAATGCAAGATATTCTGATTAGAATGAAGAAATAGGAAAAATGTACTTTTCAGACCTCTGAACAGCTCTACTTATGAATATTTAAATATTATAAAAATATGAAGGCAGTAACATTAGCATTTTAAATAGGAGTAGTTGTAGTTTTAGTTGCCAAAGTAGCATATTTGTTTGAGCTATTTAAATTGTTACACTTTGAAACACCTGTTTCAAAAATGGCTTCATTTCCATAATTTGAGTTGCTTTTACAAAAAATAAAGTATCAAGCTGGATCATCATGAATATGCAGATGTGACACAACTGTAAACTATTACATGTAAATGAATTTTGTTGACTGTAATATAATGAATGCTCAATTTTTAACAGCCTTTTTTGTCCTCAAGAGAATACTGAAGAAGCTTTGTTGCTGCTACTAATCAGTGAATCCATGGTGAGTTGTGTTTCTTTATAAATGTGCACCTTTTATATTATTTCTGTTGCATTTTACAGTTTGATAGTTCACAAATTGTAATTTGCTGTAACAAGAGCAAAAGTTAAGCGTGTGCATACATAGGCTAGTATGCAGTATATGGATTCAAAGCAAGAAAACAAACTTGTGGTACAATTCCCTCTGGGTTCACTTACTCCATGTGCTACCTTCATATTTTCTTTTAGTATTTATGCTTGTGTGGATGAATTTGTGTGAATAAATGTACTTATGGGCACACATGTGATCTGCACCACTTGCACCTTCCATACCTATAATAATCCTCAACTTAAGATTTTAATGGAGCCTGTCATGGTCATAAGTTGTGACAGTCATAAAAAAGAGTCATCCATGGGACTGACCCATGTAAATTACTTTTCTTATGGAATACCCTCCTCAAAGATACTTGTCTACTAATCATATTATCTTCTTCAGTGCTCCCAGATATCTTATATTTTGTACCTTAGTTTAAAGAGTAGTTAAATGCTGGTGGTAGCTTGAGATAGCAGCTTTTACTGTATATATATTTTCCCATGCAAATTACTGTTATGCTTCTATTATCTTATATGTTTCTCTTTTGGTATTTATAATTCATTCAGAATAATTGTGCAGAATAAGAATATAGCAAAATAAATAACTAAAGATTCTTATTGTGAAAAGTTACTGTTCATTATCCTTCCATTTTGGGGTAGTTTCACTTAAATTAATAAGTATGATGTAGCAGTTCTTAATAAATGCAATTTCATTACTAATGACTTTCCATTTCTGAATAAGGTCTCCCATTTCTGACAATACTAAGAAGTTAATTTTTCTTTTTTCCTTTATGGTCTTTGGCGGGTTATTGCAGGTAGTTAACAGCACTAATTGGCACTTATGTTGCCAATGTTGTTGAGTGATACAATCACAGGTTGAAAAACCACATGACAGCACCGCTTAACAACAACAGTTCCAGTTGCTGTAGTTAAGCAAGGACCATATAGGTCAATAAGCAAGATCCTCATGTGATTGGGATATCTGACTTCCTGTCAGCTTCCCTTTTGACTTCGCTTGTGGGAAGCTGACAGGGAAGGTTGCAAATCACAATCATGTGACTGTGGGAAACATTGTTATGAGGTTTGGTTGTAATTACCACTCAACCAGCACCATGGAAAGTTTGAACATTTGCTGAATGAGTGGTTGTTAAACAAGGGCCACCTATATACTGATCACATCTTTTCTTATGTTTGGTATGGTTTTTCAGGCTAATCGTGATGCTGTATTAAGCAGAATACCAGAACACAAAAACGACCGTATCATCAGTTTGCAAAGTGCATCTGTAGTGTACGATTTGCTTACCATTGCCTTGGGAAGAAGAGGTCAATATGAAATGCTCTCAGAGGTAAGCTGTAAAATAAGGCCTGGCATCCATATGGAGCTAGATGCATGCTATGTGGCTTGTGTACACATATAAGTTGGGAGTCAAGCTCGCAGCATCATGTTGTCACGTGACGTATCGTGACTTCCTCTTCGCTAAAACAGATGGGTGTGGCCAGCACATGATGCATGTGGCCTGTGGGCCGCGAATTTGACATGCCTGATATAACTGGAAGCTCTTCCTTCATGTCTGTCAGGCACCCTACACACACACACACACACACACATTTTTTATTCTTTTGAAAGATTTTTTTTAATTCAAAGCATGTATAGAAATCAAACCATCAGTCTCCAGCATAATCTATAGTAATGTCTGTAGTCTTCTAACGGGTTGCAGTGATAGCCGTAAAAAATAATGGGGTGGACAGATGCCAGCCAGGGATTTACCCCTATCCAGAAAAACCCAAAAGTAAATTGAGCTGGTAGAGAACATTTTGGAAAGCCAGAATAGATGATGGAGAACAACTGTTTTACTTTGTCTTCTAATAAATTGTGGGTCCCAGGAGGTGGGCCTTCTCCGTCACGGCACCCGCCTTAAGAAATATTCTCCTACCCAGTCAAGTTAGCTCCATTTCTGTTAAGGTTCTGGAAATCCCTGAAAACCTGGTTATGTCATCAGGCTTGGGAACCCAGGGAACTGGTTATCATTCTAAGATGGTTCCATTATTGTGGCTGATACCTTTACTCTCTCTGCACGTTCTAGTTTGTACATATTTTAATTTTCAGTAGTATTTTAACTTTTAATGATGATTGTTTTACATTTTTATGTTTTTTAAAATATTTTTATTGTCTTATTTGAATGCTGTATGCTGCCTAAAGTTACTTATAAGCTCGCCAACCATAGAAATTTGAGAAATAAATACATTTTGGGGTGGTGCTCATATCATGGTTTCAAAATCCTAAATGAACCCATTCTGGACTTATGCCACCTTCTGACAAAGTCATTGGGGAAACCAGATTCATTTAATGACCACATTACTAACTTAACAACAATTCTAATGATTCACTTAACTGTGGCAAGAAAGTTTGTCAGATCGTGCAAAATTCACTTAGCAAGTAACTTGCTTAGCAGGCAGAAATTTTGGGCTTAATCGTAAATCAAGGACTACCTGTACAAGCCGGAAGATTAGTTGAGCCTGTATTGCTATATACTTTAGGGGGAAGTATTTTTTTTCCTAGCTTTTCTTACGATAAAAGCAGAACTGGTTGCTATTTAGCTAATAAAGATCTCTATGCTTTAAAAAAAAAAAATTCTGAGAGTAGCTCTATAAAAGCTGGAAATCCTGAATGTAATGTGGTTTATTTCAGAATAAATAACTACACAATTGCATTAAGGAACTGTAGAAATAATTTTAAAAGTTAAATTTTATAAAATAGCATGCATACTGTGGACACTGAAACTCTACGTGCTGGTCACAAAATATTCCAGTATTCCCAGCATTTTTCTTCTGGAATACACCAATTCAACCATTCTATATGTATCTTTTATTTTACACAGTTCATAATATTTTTAATGTGGACTGTAAGAAATATGCTCCCATGTCAGATGTCTTTGGAAAAGGTAATGGGGCCTCTATGTGGTAAATATATTTCTCTTTAAGAACTATCAATTCTTTATTGCTTTTACTGCTACAATTGGAAACTAAATTCTGTGCCTACCCTGAAAGTAAGCATTATGGATTTTCATCAGAATTAGTTCTGAAAAGGAACTGAAAAATATAACTGTAGTAGTCATTTTTGTTTCATAACTTTTTTCCTGGATTGCTGATCCATGCTTCTCTGCTTCCCATTCTTTCCATTTTTCATGGCCTCCCTTTCTTTGAAAGAGCCTTTCTTGCTCTTCCAAATTCTGTTTCCCTCATGATGAAATTTAACTTATCTATGAATTTTAAAATTACTAAATCCATTCAATTTGTATGGTAAATTACTTTCCTACTGAAATACCGATAATTGAATACATAAATAGAAGTTAGATGCTTCTTTAATTAAATGTAGGCACCACATGGCTCCAACTAACTCTGGATGGCTCACAATATGTCATCATAAAATAGTTGCCGAAGATGTTGCAAATGCATTTATCAGAAATTTGAGGAAGTCAACTAACATTGAATTTTAAAATGCTATCCAATCAAATCCTGAAACAAGTGGAACTAGATGACAAAGACATCCAAATCATAAATAATCTATATTGGCATCAGGTAGCAAATGTGGGATTAGGCTGAAAATACTCAGATGATGCAGAAATATGAAGAGAGGTCAGAGAGGACTGTATCCTGTCTCTTCTGTTGTTTAATATGTACTCCAAGTCCATTTTCAACAAAGCACTGGAAAACATCAATGCTTGCCTAAAAGTAAACGGTGTTCGGATCAAAAATTTAAGATATGCTGATGGTACAGTTCTGCTTGCCAGTAAGCATGAAGACCTTCAGCTTCTCATCAAGAGTCACAGAAATATCTGAAAAATATGGCTTGAAGCTTAACATCTCAAAAACCAAGATCATAGTCGTCAGCAAACAACCCCTTAATTTACCACTGATAAATTTGAAAAGAATACCTATAGAAAAAATTGAAAGGATCACGTACCTTGGTTCTAATTTACATGAAATCTGGGACATGACTGCTGGAGTAAGGCAAGGATAGAGAACGCGCGAACAGCATACTTCAAAATGAAAAAGGTCTTCTGCAGTCAGGACATAAGTCTAAGATTGAAAACCAGGCTTGTCAGATGGTACTTCTTTTCTATCTTGCTCTATGAAGTAGAGAGTTGGTCTCTGACAGAAAGCCACTTGAAGAGACTAGAAGCATTTGAAATGTGGATTTACAGACAGCTGTTACGTTTAAGCTGGGTTGATAAAACCAGAAATGAGGAGGTGATAAGCCACCTGGGAAAGCCAAGGGAAATCATTAAAACCATTAAAAAGCGAAAGTTAGAATATTTTGGACAAGTGATGTGACACCCGGAAAAATTCCAGGGAAAGATTGAAGGCAAACGAGGTCCAGATAGAAGAAGAACATCATGGCTTCAAAATCTAAGGAACTGGTTTGGACAAAACTCAACAGCACTTTTTTGTGCAGCTGTTGA